ATTAGCATAATCCTATATCTTAGTATATTGTAATTAAATAAAAATAAATTAGATTTAGTATAATATAAATTGCTAAATCAATTATAAATCGATAAATTAAAAATAATATAGCCAAAGGCATTATACATAATCAAATATATTCATTATATTATTTAATACTTAAACAGGTTTTAATGATATTTATGAGAAATATTATAAATATATTAGTTATACTATATTATATAGATGGTAAAATTCTAACTGAGAAAAAAATAGGATTTAGAATTGCTTAATGTATTTTCAAAATAAAAAATATTATATATATAATGAGAAAGATTACTTTGTACTATTAAACTGAGTTTTATTGATAAAAATATATGCTTTACAAAATGTAAAATAAATATCTACTACTTATGCATATATTTTACAATAGGATATTTGATAATAAGTAAAAGATTTATATATAATAAATTAATAGACTAATTTATAATTGAGAGATTTAGATATATTCTTTTTAATAGAATTTATTGAGGTATATTTAATATTAGACTAGTGCTTATATTAAAATTACTTTCGTAAGATAAATTTAAAGATTATATAAAAATAAATCAGTTAAATAAAATTTTATTAATATTATAATTTGCAAATAAAATAATTCAGTAAATTCTAATATAAAGAATTATATACTATAATCAACAATAATTATATTAAAAATAAAATTTGATATCTTTCAACAAAACATCTATATAGTTATAATTTATGATTAAAAAATATTATTAGAAGAATTAGACATATCAAATAAAAATATATTCTTTTAAATATTTAAAAACAGAAGGAATTTTATTAGATTATAAATAATATTTAAGAGATGCATTTAATATATATAAAACAAGTAAAATTGAATGAATAAGTCATATTTATTAACTTTTTTTTCAAGTGAAATATTTATCTTATCTTTATATACAAAATAAAATAATTTATTATCATATATAAACTATTTAATTAATCAAAAAGTACTGTATTAAGATTGAGAAATATAACAGAAATCATAATTATTTAACTGATTTGATTTAAATTTAGAAAAATATTTTAAATATAGATTATTACTTTCTTGATATATAATTTATTAAGCAAACGTATATTACATAAATATATTTTTTCTCAAAAATTTCAAAAAGAATAATAAAGTAATCTTGTAATTTTTGATTATAAGAAAATATAATTATAGTTTTTATATAATAATTATCTAGTAAGCTTATAAAAATTATAAGAAAAGATTTGAAAAATTGGCAAAATAAGTTTAAGAGGTGATAATAAATAATGGTATTTTTGATAGTGAAAGTATTTAAGTATTATTCATTATGATAAAAGTTATTATTATATTTAATGAAAAATTAATAGAATTTAAATTAATTGATTATTTTTATTTAGAAAATAAACATAACATTTATTTTATTAATACTTATACAAAAGAGAAAAATCAAATTATATTAAATAGTCTTGTAAAATTTATCATTTAGTTTTTTCAATTTTTGATATTTACTAATAAACAAATGGTTTATATTTTTTAAAACTTTAATAATTCACCAAATAATCATATAATTTAAAATTAAAATGAAAGAGAATAACCTAATCAATCATTTTATCAGAGTTAAATTTTAAAATTTACACAAATTATAGACTAAATAGATTTGACAATTATACTAAATTTTTAATTAATATAGATATATTGCATTAAATAAAGATTTTTTATTGAGTTTTAAAAATAAATGTTTTATATTATATAAAAAATAATTCAGAAACTTTTGATAACCCTCTGTATATAATATAATTTAAAGACAAATATAATTGTTTTTAATAATTCATCATTAATAAAAAATTTAAAAATAAGATAAAAGCAACTTTTTTTAGAACTTTATAAGAATATGAAATGTATTCTTCTTACTTAAAATATAATAAATTAATATATAATTTTAATAATAATGAAATTTCTGAAATACTTAAAAATATTATATAAAATAAGAAATATAAAAAAATTTGATAATAAACTGATAAAATAAACAAATTATATATTAAAATGGTTTGCAAGTAATTTGAATATCCCTTATATTTAATTTAAAAACTTTTTAACTATTCTTAATGTAGAAAAGAGATAAAGCATTTACAACTAACAAAATGCATAGTTCTTAAAATAAATGAACCAATATAAAAGATGTCATTATATTTTTATTTCAGATTAGTTTAATAGATCTTTTAAATGATATTATTTATCTTAACATTATAGAATATTAGAATATAATAAGTTAAAATTTGAAAATGTTTTGAATCAAACAAAGAAAAAACTTTACAATTCTCTAAAGTTTTAATATAAAATAAACCTGATATTATGCTGATAGAAAATATGAAAATAAATTATTTATATTGTAATCTTTACATATTATTTGCACTAATTGAAAAAAAAATATAAATTATAAAGAGAAACTTAAAATTTAATAAGTTTATTAATGTTACTTATAAACAATTAATTCAGTATCATCAGCAAAAAATTATATCTAAACTTTTAGTAAAAGATGCAAATGAATTATCAGATATTTCCATTTTAATTAAGCTCAAATACATTTTTTAATTCATTATTCATTTATTATTAATTTTAAGAAATATTACAATTGTAATCAAAAGTTTATTAATATAGGTAATAGAGCAAGATAATACATATTCTTCACAAAATATCAATCTAAACTTTATTATTTCTTCATCATGATATAAATAATTTTGTAATATCTCAAACATTTGTTTTTTTTTATCTATTTAGATTAATGGATAAAATTTTGACATAATAACTAGGCAATGATGATTGTTATACGTCTGAAACTGTACGTTCCAATTTTTTTGAGCTTGACATTTTTATTTAGTTTAGTAATACATTTACATTTAATTTAGTACAGTATTACATTTAATAGTTTCACAATAAATAATAAATATGAGAGATTTTTTTCTTTATTTTGATCATTATTTATAGATAGCTTACTTTAATACTATAAATTAACCCTAATTCTACGCAACTTATCAGAAATATTACACAGCTTTTAGCTGCATAACCTGCAGCCAGCTTTTCTAACAAACATTTCCTTCTGAACTTTCTAACTCTAAACTTGACCTTAATGCTACATCCTAACCCTAATGCTAATGCTATGTCCTTATCCAAATATCACGATATAATATCTATAGTGACTGACCAATATTTTAACCTTTTGCATAGAACGTAAACATCCTCCACTTTCATTTCAGACAATTAATATAAATAATTATTCATGCGTATAATTTGAATGCTTTATATAATATATAAAATATTATTTATCATGTCATTTGAGTTTGAAATATTGAAAAAATGTGTTACTAAGCTTAAGACTAAGAAAGTTGAGTTTGAAACTAGAAATACTGATTTTTAAAGCAGGTTATAAAAAAGTTCAACAAATTTATAGCTGAGAATATTTAGCTCAAGGTTAGAATAAAGAAATTAGAGAAAAATAAGACAGATACCATTAAACTCATATTTGCTAATGTTGAGTTTAGAGATAGAGTCATAAAAGTAAAACAGAAGCAGTTGTAAAATGATAGTTTTTCTAATAATAGTTCATCTAATTTCAATTCAATTATAAAGCATTATGATAAAATCATTAAAGAAAAGGAAATAGATACTTATAATATATCTAATTATATACTAATATGTGTCAATTTTGAATCATTAGAAGAAAAGAATATGAACTTTTTTCTGGTTGAGGTGAATAAGAAAAATGTTAGTGATAAGATTAAGAAGGGAAGTGGAAGGAAAAGCTTTGAAACTAAAAGCTTGCTTTAATACCTTCTGAAGAGAAAAGCTCTCAAAACCTCAACTCAATTACTCAGTTATATAATATCATATCATCTGTTATATTAGTTAATTTAGATTTCTTTTAGAAGATAAGATATGTAGCGAAAGTATAAAGAAAAAAAGGTATGTATAGGTGAATTGTTTACTCTGAAAATATCACAAGAGCTATTAATACAGCAAAATTATGTGACCAAAATTTCTAATAACATGTTCTGAAAAATCAAGTATTGATAAGGCATCCTAATATTTAGCTCACTTATATGATAAGGATATTGATACAAAGATACTATAATGAAGCTAATCATCAAGAAATCTTATGTTGAACTTTAATGTGCTCAGAATTTCAGAGTTTAGCTTGATAAGATTATAAAGGTAAATTTGATGAAAGAAGATGAGAAGTTTGCTTTATGATTTCAATACAGAACAGATTTCTATCAAATAAGCTTGAATAAAATTGACTTGTATTTCACCTTTTTTTTTCGAATTGCTCAAGAAAAAGATAAATAAGATATCAAGAATATTTTCTCCTAACTTTTTTTGAAACTATGGTTGGCTTTTCTCCCAAAAAAATTTATTTTTGGGAGTTCAGAAGAATTTTTTCGCCATAAGTAGAATGGGAATTTTTTTATGCCTATATAGATATATTATGCCAAATTTTTTTGCCAATATAATAATACACTTTCCTATAGGTAGAATTACTTTGAGAAATGGCATATCTTTTTTGGCTATTATCAAATGCACTTTACTAATAAAGGAAGAGTTAAGAACACTTATTACAACATTATAATATTAATATATTTACAAAAGAATTTATTGATATAAAACTATGCTAGTTCTTTAATGCAATTAAATAAATTAAATAAAGAGCACAACGGACTTATCTTTCTGATAATATACTGTACAATAGCAAACTTATACTAACATATTTTTACTTTAAAAGATACAAACTATTTTTTGACGTAATAACGTCCTATTCAACTGCATAATCAAGCAACTATGCAAAATCCTCATTTTGTTTAAGCTGAAGTTTATTAATTTAGTTTTAGGTATATTTCAGAAGTGATTTAATATCTATCCATCCCTAAACAATTTAGAGATTCGCACATTTGATATGGTGAAGTCAATAAAATATAAATAAGATATCATATATCTAGTACTGTACCTCGAAAGCTTGATTAATAACTTTTTCAATATTACCCTTGACTGAGCTGGGCAATTTTTCATCTTTGAGTTGGTTTAAGAGAGGTCTGGCTGATTGAAAGATACTGTAATTTTGTTCAATAATCACAACCATTATTTTCATATAAGCGAGCAAAAGTTCTTTCCCTGTTTGTAATTTTGTTTGTTTCATTTGTGTTATCAATTCAGCAATCTTGTGTTGATATGTCATATATCAGCTTTCTTTAATTCTAATTCATAATTTCTTCTCATTACAGAGTTCAGTATTCTGCTTATAAGCTTCAAACTCAAGATCCAGTTTCTTTTTTGCATTTTCATTTTCCCTCTTATGAGCATCATTTTCGAGCTTTAATTTATTTTGCATTATCAGTTTCTCTCTTACGAGCTTCATTTTTGAGTTTCAGTTTTCTTCTTGAATTTTTAGTCTTTCACTCTATTTTCCTTAATGCATTATCATTTTCTCGCTTATGAGCTTCGTCTTCGAGGGCCATTCTCCCTTTTAAAATCTCTTCTTTTAGCTTAAATTTTGAATTATTGCCGCCCATATTGTAACTAGAGAAATTAATAACTTCGAGAGATTAATACTATGCTTAAAAGAAATTTTAAGTTAACAAAGGGTTCACAGATCTATGTGACATATTAAGTTTCACATATAAGCTAACCCTAGTCTACTTTTTCCCATTGTTGCCATAAACAATTATATGTTATGAAAGGTTGAGGACTTCACAATTCTGAGATCGTCAGGCGTTAGTCTGACTTTGTGTCTTGCAGAATAGATTTTCATGTAAAGAGGTATAAAAGGTTCACATTCATGCGCTTTCAAAGCTTTCTTAACATTATACAAAATGCTATCTTTTCTCAGCAAGATATAAAGTATGTAGGAACTCATGAAAGTTCAGTCAATCTTCAGCAAAAAATCTTTTCACAAAATAAGGTATGTACAGTATATGCCAGAAATTATGTTTACACAGAAATGAAAAATGCTTACTATAGGCCTTGTATTTAGGAAATCAAGATGCCTTCTATTTATCTCAACTGTTTTCTTCGTGATGAGACTGTTAATATTTTTGATATAACAATTGATAATAATTTGACCATTAAAAATGTAGGAGGCGAAATCAGAAAGGTCTAATAAGACTTACGTTAAGTAAACTTTGATCTATATGAAGTTAATTTTTTTCAACTTAATTATGCCATAGTCTCTTCCATAAACAGTTTTACAACTAGTCAAGGATAGGGATGCTAATGGTCATGGTCATAACCAGTCATAACTGTGACTGATATTAGTCAGTCAAAAGCTTCTGACTGACCAGTTGACTGACCAATTCTGACTGATTTTGACTGACCGGTTGACTGACTGACTCGAGACTGAATAATCATGTTTTAAATAGTAAAAACACTGTGTAATAAATTAACAAAATCAAACATTTTATTTTAATTATAAATAAATTGAAATTTTGAAAAAAAAAAATAATTAAAATTAGTGATAATGCTACGTCATTAAATAAAATGACAAGGTAGTTTTAAAAATACCATGCTAGAATTGTTAAAACAAGAATCAAAATTATAAATATTACTAAATTAAAACTTCTATTAAGTCAAAATTGCTCAATTATATTATTATTAACTGGTCAGTTAACTGGTCAATTAAAATTGATTAGTTAATTAGTCGGTCAGTCAAAGGCCTTTGGCTGACTGTTGATCGATTATGATCGACTGTTACCATCTCTAGTCAAAGAGTATTTATGATGCCACAAAGGGCAATTTCCCATCTTGCTAATCTTATAAAAAGCCCTCCTTATGCTGAAGAAAATAGTGAAAAAGGTCCTATTCACGTCCTTATATATCTCAGGTAGTATTGAAAGAAAATCTCTCAGATACTAGGCTTTAGTGAATTAGAAAGTGAAGAATTTTACTAACATACCGTTTTCTAAAACTAGTTATAATTTTTTTATTTGTATCATGTAACAGCAGTAGCTGTAGGCGTTTCGCATATACGTAAATTTATTTTTGTATCAGTTGCTTCAGCAACAATTTATTTTATAAATAAAGCATTTATATACAATAAAAAAAAAGATTACAAATCATATCTCTAGCTATACAAGAAAGTGTTTCGAATTAATTTCACTCTGTTAATATTGATTATCTAAATAATGGATTTAGAAGATACTGCTTTAAGTTTATCGTGAATAGTGATCACTTGATTAGAAGAACTTATTTCACCGCATTTGTGTTGCAAAATAAATGGATCACATGGCAGGTCGTATGTTGAAGAACAGACTGTAGCAAATTTTTGCTTATTAATACAGTTGCCAATAATTGCTTAGTATTACTTATCGTAATATTGTTATCAATGAAAATCATATAGGACTTAAAAATCGTAACTGAAAATTATCAAATTAAACTGCTTAAAATAGTATAAAGAAACGTCATTTTATTGTCACAAAAAGTTTTGGTACCTTTACAAAATTTTATTTTAATCTTTTTTTTATTATTATTATGTATTTTAAGATAAAATTTGTTCAGTAGTAAAAAAAATTTTTTTTTAATTTCCTTTATGTGTTACTGGTTACAAATGGAATTGAAAATTTTCTTAATATTATTACATTCTATTCACAAATAAACTTTCAAAAAGCTTAACCTTTTGCAAAATATTAAAGTTTTTTTTTTATTTAATATTTGTTACTACCACTCAGGTTTCTTCTATCCTTAGTATTTTCTTATGTACATTTTATTGCTGACACTGCAACAGTAAAATAACAGCATTTTGTTTACCAGGTGGTGTATGACTTTATAATGTCTTAAATATTGTGAATTCTACTATCACTGCCATCACCACCTTCACCGTCACCAAAAAAGGATTCCTTTATACTCAGGTTTTTAGTATCAAGCAAAAAAAGGATTTTGAGTAGCAGAAGTAACTCCTCAGCTCCTGGTTCTCAACCTATGAACTCTTCAGTGATATTAGGTTAAGAATTAACTTCAAATACAAAGAACTGTAAACCCTACTGGAACAATCATGCAAAGGTCTTATCAGAGAGATTGTGACTATCCATTATGATCGATTATGCAGGTTTACCTACAAATTTCTTAAGCACAAATTCTCACTCAACTTTACTAAACTCGTGGTTCTTTTCGATGATTCAACAACTGACAAACATGAGCTGTCTGAAGATATCTTTACCATCAACGTTTTCGTCTGCAAATTGCAAGGAAAAAGAGCAGCCAAATACAAAAGGAAAAAAAAAAGAAAGAAAGTATTAACAATGAGAAAAAACAAAAGAAGAAAAAAGGACGAAAATGTGAATAGAACATTAAAAGTGAAATTATACCCAAACCTTACATAAAAACATATAATAAAGTGATGAATGGGGCTGTCAAGATTGACCTATAATACAATCATTGACTATCTGCAGAAAAGACAGTTTTTGATTATGCATGTAGATAAAAATGGGAATAAATGTAAGAAGATGATAAACTTTCCAAATATAAAATTCTTGAGAAGGATCACGTATTTAAAATTGAGGAGTAAGAAAGCCTATAATGATATGCCAAATAACTTAATTGACGAAACTGTGGATGAAGCTGTTAAAAATTTCAATTCAAAAGATAATAAAACCAGATTGAAGTTCAAGACCAGGAAAGACCTAAAGCACACCATCATCATACGCGCACAAAATTTCTCAAAAAAATATTGGAATAAATTTTACATATCATACCTATTCAAAAATACTGATTATATGAGA